CACACATCGGGAAACGCCAATACCGATGGCACATGACAAAAATGTAAGGGTTACTTTGAAGTGCAGTAACGTAACGAAAAAAAGATGGCAGCCACGTTTCTTCCTTTTTTTTAAATTAAGGGAGAAGGATCGTACTTTATTCGGTTATAAATGGCATCCCCGAAAATGATTTTACAAAATCCATGGATATCCTCAAACTTGTCAATTTTCAATTCGACAAACATGGCCACACATTTAAAGGGATACAGCGTTGTAGGTGCATCAAACTTAAACTCGAGAAAAATGGTCTTAAAGTAGAGGCTTTAAGCTTTAATTTAAAGCAATAATCATCATCCTACGAGGATTTTTCGTGGAGTTACCGTCAGTCAAAGTTGGCCAATTTTTGTCCAAAATTTTTCTATGCTATAGCTTTTTTTGAGCAGCGTATAATGTACAGAGTAATAATTATGTTAACACCTGGAAAGGGGTGATTCCTGAGGTCATTTGAAGTAAATTTTTCCTTAACGAAAATGCAATCCGCGGCTTTGTTTACGGGTTATTAATGAAAGACGCTGACCAATGAGAGGCGAGCTCGGTTGGTGGGAGGCGGCCGAGTCAATGGCTAGCTTTTTATTTCGAATAATTATAATACATATCTTTTTTCGATGTTATCCTATATTTGTGAAATGCAAAATATGTGAAACGTTTCGAAGTTACGTTTCGTTTCTCTGTAATTGTTCAAAATAAGAAACTAGGAAATAAATCAAATTAGAGTTTAATTCGAAATGTTTCACACATTTTGCATTTCCCAAGTAGGATAATATTGAAAAATTTTCTCAGATAACGTCGTTACTCCTTTCCAGGTGTTTTCACCGTTGGACAAAGAAAGATGAAGTTGAATCGATACCGAAATTATAGCTCCCTGTCAATAGTAATAAGCACGTACTCGATGAAACCGTATTCAGTTACTGAACCCTACACTTGTTCCATCGATAATAGAACTGTACAAGCACAACCACATACTGTAAGCCTGGTTGAAGTCCTTGAACACTAAACGTACTTTGACATGTCATAAATTTTCAATACGGTTTGAAAAGTCTAATTTTGGATCAATAACGGTCTGATAGATCTACCTCGTATCTTTTGTCAATTCTGACAGCTAAAATAGATCCTATCCAACTGGAGCGTATTTATCGAATGTCATCGGTATATTAATGGTTTTCCTTAGGAATCTACCTCGCATTCGATCAATGTCTTATTACATAGCGACAGTTTGTAACACCTTATTCTATTGGATTGCCCGGAAATAAATCGCGGACTTGACGCGTGACGTGAATATAAAGAGAGTACATACATACATACATAAGTTGCACTTAAAATCAAGTCACGCAATTGAAATAACTTCTATTAGATTTTATACAATTTTCCCAACGTGTTAAATGACCTTTCATTTTATAGAATAAAAATTACCATTTCTACAATGAATGAACTCCGAAGTTTAAAAAATTCTTTCCACGTGGAATAATTTACTAGTAGTACATATCTCCAAGATCAACTGCATGATTAATATTGGGTTGGCAACTCTAAGTAATTGCCGATTTGTTCAATGAAATAAAAAATTCTTTTTTACTTGGAACGAAGTTTAATCTGTAATGTATTTTCCATTTTGTTCGATGACCTTTTGCCATCTCTCTGACAACTTGAAAATTCCACGCTCGTAGAAAGTCTGATCCTTTTCGGCCGAAAACTGAATAAAGTGAGATTTTACAGCGTCGTCGTCATTAAAAGTTCTACCACGAAGGGAGTTGTCCAGGGATCGAAATAAATGGTAATCCGATGGCGCGAGATCAGGGCTATATGGTGGGTGTATCATCAATTCCCAACCAATATCCATCAATTTTTGCCGAGTGGACAAAGACGTGTGCAGCCTAGCATTGTCCTGCTGGAAAATCACACCTTTACGATTGACCAATTCTGGTCGCTTTTCCTTGACCGCTGCATTCAATTTGTCCAGTTGTTAACATTCACGGATAATAAAAAATAACATAATAATAATAATAATAATAATTTTATAATA